AATCAATGTCAGTAATGATAAATATTTATGACAGCAGTAATAGTAAGACGGTGATAATAGTTGCTAGAGTTATCGTAGGTAATACCTATTTATACATATGGGTATTTCTACTGTGAGTGGCTTTAAATGCCTTAAAAAATCGTTAAAAAAAGTGGTAAACCAATTATATTTCATAATAATTGTACCCCAAATACCATCCACAAAAAATATCCAAAAAGATTCTACCACAAAGTTTTTGGGTAAAAAGATACACGATATTTTGTATAGATTAATTTTAGTCATTTTTTTTTTCGATTCAGAAATAATATTAGAAAAAAAATCAATAATACTTTGAAATATGTACAAACCTTAAAGTTTCTTTTTGATTTTTTAAGTTTAAAGTCGTTTGAGTCCTCCTGTTCTCTTTTTTCAGCTTGCTGTTGATAATCAACAACGCTTCCTTCATGTTGGTAGCTGGTCATGCTTGATTGTTGTTGGTTGTCGATGATGCTTGCTTGCTTATAGTTGACGAAGCCCCACTGTTGTTAATCAATCTCTGCATGAGACGTTGAAAAACGTTGGAAAAAAACTCTGAAGCTCGAGACGGCTCCTGATATAGAACATCCCCCTCTCTTACCACCGATGGTAGCAGCTGTGCTGCAACTTCATACGTGTAACTTGTTCTTTGAATTTTGAATACCTTCAATGTAACATGTTAACTGTTCCTTGAATTTTTGAGAACTATTCGCTCACAACGACTAAGATTAAGTAGCTAGTGCCCTACATCACTGCATTAGACCAAAGAAATCCTTCTTTACTTGAAGATATTGCAAAAGATAAGCTTGTTTCTTCAAGTTCCCGTGATTAAAAGATAAATGAGTATCATCTATTACCTAAAACTTTAAGACATGTAAGAACTGTCAAAAGGTCCAATCGGTTTGAAAAACTTCGTTTTAATATTTCAAGCTTTTAGAAAAAAAACTTAAATTTAAGCCTTTCTACATAAGTTGGTAAAGTCAAGAAAAGCTGTCAAAAGAAAGTACAGACTGTGAAAGTTTGAAAAAATGTGAGAAAAAAAGTACTGGGAGAAACTTCTAAGCCAATGACAGATTCTACAGAAACATCTTATAAAATTTGCTATAGAAACAAAAGATCAAAAATATTAAAGTAATAATTCTGTTACTCAAAATCCTTTTGGTAGTAAAAATAATGAAGATTGTTAAGTTGATTAGGTGAATTAACATAAAAACAGAGAAATATCAAATGAAGGTAATATCAGCTTTGAGTCTGCTGTCAGCAAAAATGACGATAAATACAATGACTAGGATGATACTATTCAAGATTAATCGGATGCTGATGTTCAAGTCAGTAAGAATGTATTCTAGTATATAAATTCGCAAAAACTTAATCAGAACCAAAAAAGATTACTGCACTTTAAGTATGAAGTACGAAAAGAAGAAGAAATGTACAAGCTTGGTGATTCACGAATAGACTTTGACAATAATCATACAAAAATAAACAATTAAAATTATACAATGATTTTTGAGTTATTGGAGCTACTCATTGAGAAACATCCCAACGAATCTTTTATAACGCAAAATGATTCGGAAAAATACTCTGTAATATAAGAAAATTCAAATTTTCATCGAAAAGGGTTTAAAAAAAATCGAGCTATACGAACTAGTAATAGTAACAAATTTAATAGAATTTTCGCTCAAATGTTCAATCTCGTTGTTAGTAAAAACGGTGGATCGCTGCTACCTCGTTATAAGACGGCTCGAATACTGCAGCTAGAAGGTAACATACACTGAGTCAATCCTAATAAGCTAGAAGATCGTTCACGATTACTGACAACTGCAAAATCAGCAGGAAATACAAGTCATGACAATGAAATCATATCAATCATTGAAAAGTTTTGCGAGGCAAGGTATGCATATAAATATATAAGATTATTGCTTCTGTATCAAAGTGAAAGTCAACGTTGGGCCCAAAATTAAGTAGAACTGAAGGTGGTAGCCGAGGTAGAAAAGAAGTAAGTAGCTTTCAAATGTTCTTGTAGAACTTCCAAAACAAAATTCTCATTCATTCAAGCGGATCTAACAAACGTAAGCCTAGAAATATAAAACATAAAGCAAATTGTTGAAGAACTCCACAAGGCAGCAAGGCATAGTTATCCTCGTTGAAATTCAACATACGTGGTTTAGACGAGACTTGGCAATCGAACCTTATTGAGATGCAACCTTATGCTTGTGAAAACAAAGGGTATCGGTATATGCTTACTGTGATAGACATTTTCTTTAAGTACGCATAAGCTTTTAAAAGAAAAAAAGAGCTGGTGACGAAGTGTCAGCATCGATGCAGTCTATATTGAAAGTAGGCAGAATACCAGTGAATATGAAAACCAATCGTGGCAAAGAGTTCTACAATTCAAACTTCAAATATTTAATAAGAAAATATGAAAGAAATGTTACTTAACTTGTAGCAATCTTGAAGCATCTACACGCAAG